GGGGAGGGGATGGGGAGTGGGGGAATCAATCCAACGGCCGCATCTTCAATTCACTTGAGTTTCGTAGCAGCCACCTTGAAAAGAAGCTCAATAATCTCTTGTAATAACAGCTATTTAGCCGATAACCAATTATGAATAACATTTGGTCGATATTAACTACCCAACCATACCTAGCTCAACGTATACCATTCGAATGTCACAATAGTTAATATATAGCTTTACAGAAGTAGACATATGAACGTGAGACGGACTAATTTTTTTAGCATTATTGATCAACATACTTGTAGTATCAGACACTGGTGGAACCGTCGTCGTTGGCCCTAGAAATCAAAACAGAATAAGACAAAATTAGTATATGTAATAGGACTCCATGTTGTCCAATTAAGAAATAATTGGACGAGGAAAATACTGAGGACTGACAAAATTGGATGAGGCCGTAGGCCGAGTCTAATTTGGCAGTCAGAGGAATTTTTCGAGTCTAATCATTTCTTGATTGGGGAGCATGAAATCCCATTACCTATTAATTACATAGCTGCCTAATTAATCCCATATCAACAAGACCTGTCCAGTTAAGAAAATAATTGGACAGTTACCTATATTAATCCCATATAATATAATGTAATATAATGTAATATAATATAGGTAACTGTCCAATTATTTTCTTAATTGGACAGCTAGGTCTCGTTGATATGGGATTAATTAGGCAGCTATATGATTAATAGGTAATGAGATTTCATGCTGTCCAATCAAGAAATAATTAGACTCGAAAAATTCCTCTGACTGCCAAATTAGACTCGGCCTACGGCCTCATCCAATTTTGTAAGTCCTCGGAATTTTCCTCGTGCAATTATTTCTTAATTGGACAGCATGGAGTCCTATTACATATACTAATCGTTGAAGTGCGACCCGCGAAGTTCAATGCGTTGTTTGCAAACTATAGATCTTTAAGTAAAGGCTCTGGCAAATACGGCACGCTACCAACATTTGACTCAATATGAAGCTATACTTTGTTGGGATCAATAATATWATGCTAATATTATGCTTTATTATGGGTCTCTTCTACTATTTTTCAAAATTTTCACATATTTTTATATTTTTATACACTTTTTAATATTTCATACTAATAGGACTTAGRACAAATACTTATTTAATATTATTTTATGTATAGATATTTGTTTATTTATTTATTGTATTTCTACTTTTATAATTGAGTGTCCCCAATTAGCTTGTAAGCTAAATACATTGACACTCAATAATAATAATTTTGCATCTACGTTTTCGTACTGCACATAATAATAATAATTCTAATAATTCTATTATAATTATTTAAATTTAAAAAAAGATACGATACGATAATTAAAATTATAAACAAAATACGATATATATAATACGAAAATCTAACGATATATAAATGGTACGAAATCTAAATGAAATTTTGGGAGTGCAGTTCGTGAAGTCCGCGGGATCACCGGAACTGAATTATCATCATAACTCTAAAAACGTACTTTAATAAGTGTTTACGTAGTAAGAAATCCTTCTTTAAGGTCATACCTTTAGTTGATGGAATTGAAGATGGAACGGTACTTTGAGCTGGAGTGACTTGACTTGCAGTAGTTTGAGCTGTAGTAGATTGAGCTGCACTAGTTTGAACTGGAGTAGCTTGACCTGTAGTAGTTGGAGATGTAGTAGCTTGGACAGCAGTAGTTTGAGCTGTAGTAGATTGAGCTGCACTAGTTTGAACTGGAGTAGCTTGACCTGTAGTAGTTGGAGATGTAGTAGCTTGACCTGTAGTAGTTGGAGATGTAGTAGCTTGGACAGCAGTAGTTGAAGTTGTAGGAGCTTGACCTGCAGTAGTTTGAGCTGAAGTAGATTGAGCTGCACTAGTTTGAGCTGGAGTAGCAAGAACTAAAATAATTGAAGTTGTAGTAGCTTGAACTGCAGAGGTTGGAGCTGTAGTATTTTGAGCTGTAATAGTTTGAGCTGTAGCATTTTGAGCTGTAGTAGTTTGAGCTGTAAAAAARGTCATTGAATAACTGCATGAATAGTTAATAAAAGAACAGATTTGTGTAACTTCACATGCGA